CTACTACTACTACTATTACCGAGTAGTTTTCGATACGGAACAAGAGGGGTGTTTCTGTTTTTTTTATCTCGTGTGGACTGCAACCCGGGATGCGCCCGTGTCACCACTTTACGAAGGAAGTCGTTACATCTTATTCTTAGTTGAGAAGCTAGAGCGAGGGCCACAGTAACCGCGGGCCGAGCCACACAGACACGCACCAGGCCACACAAATACCCAACGGGCCACACAAACACGCGGTCGCGGCGTTGTTGTGCATCCTGGCGCGGCCGACCCGATTCGATTCTGATTCCGTGCTGATGCAGACCGACCCGACGCACTCTCCGATTTTGTCCTGTCTCTCGGTTCGATGCCGACTGATTGTGGATAAGGTTGCTGACTCTCCCCGCACCCCCCGAGCATCGCCTCCGATGCCGCCCCATCACCCCTGCGATCGCACCTCGTCCCGCGAGGCTCTTCTCGTCCCGTCGGCCTCCGTCCCGCTCGAGACGGAGGAAGACCGAATCTCCTCCTCGCAGGCGATTTCTCTCCCCCAATCCCCGACTTCCGCCAGAAAAGTTTGGTCGCTCAGAAAAGGGGAGGAATCTTGGGATACACCCCGAGGGGGCTATTCGGACGCACCCCTGTCGAGGATGGACGCCCCCCCCTCGTATATCCCAGGGTTGGGCCCCCAATTTCTGGTCCATTCGGAAACCCCACGAAGCCTGGGATAGGGGTCGACATATCCCCTGTTACCTCCCTCCTCCCAGCGCTCCCCCCGGATGAGCTGGCTGGCTATCCCCGCACCCCCCCCCGGGCAGCCCCCCTCCGATCCTGCCACAGCTCTCCCGTTTCGGAATTTCGTTCGCCCGCCCGGCCCCCGAGCCTGGCATCGCTCGGACGTGTGCATTTTTCCTCCTGCCCTCTTTCTTCTCCTCTTTCTCCTTCTCCTCCTCCTCCTCCTCCTCCTCCTCCTCCTCCTCCTCCTCCTCCCCCTCCTCCTCCTCCCCCTCCTCCTCCTCCTCCTTGATCATCTGGCGAAAAAAACACGCGCGAAACCCCCCAAAGACACGGGGAACGGACGTCCGAGCGATGGCCAGCGAGGCTCGGAGGCCCCGCGCGTCGGCGCGTCGGGAGAGGGCACGGCCCCCCCCTCTGCTCCGGGGCTGCTCTTCGGGGGTGGACAGAACCCCCAACAGTGACACGTCGATTAGTGAATTGTCCGTTTTTGGTTCTCGAGAGAGCGCCGTGGCCGTTATTTTCCAGGCCTGCGCCCGCCAGGTTTGGGCCTCAGGTCGTTTTCACTAAACCACGTTTTGCTAAAGGGGGGTCTGTCCATCCCCGAGCTCTGCCCCATGACGAATCGGCGTCACCCCAACATACTCATATACTACATGTGCGTCGCCCCCCTCAGGGGCGACGCGCGCACCGAGGAATCTTATAGTCTATGCGTCGTGGCGGGCGTGTTCTGGCCACACCGCCGGGGAAACGATGCGCTACAAGGTGGGTGTGCTATATGTTTGGGTCGGACGCGCGGGTCCAAGGTGGACATATAGTACTAGTATGTCTTCGCGCGTCCCAGTGAATGGTAGTGCGGCTGCCATCGTAGTTGTCTCGACACGCCCGTCCCGAAACGCAACGCGTACCGTGCTCAAAACGTGCGTGTCAACACGTTGCGTGCTGGCTCAGCGTGCTGTCCCACGTTTGGGCGAGCGCATCGCGGCAGACCGACGCTCTCAGGATACGTGGTGAGCTCCGTGTTAACACGCTACGCGTTGCGTGTTGAGTATTTGGGCGGCGAAGGCCGCCATCTCTTCGCAAGTGCGCCGTGACTCCCCGTTGGCCCGTCGGTTCGTCCCCCGGGACGTCCAGGGGTAGACGCAGCTGTACAGGGCAGTCTGGAGAGGTGCCTAGCCCTCGGTGGGAGGCGGGCAGGAGGCCGGCAGAAGTAAAGCGGCTGCGGTTCCGACAGAGCGGGCGGGAGCAGCTGTTGTGGTAACTTGGGGGCCAACAGCACAATTATAGAGAAGGGGATGCGAGCCCTGGGAGGAACACTTTCACTGAAAACCACCATTTGCTCTGGGCAGGGGGTATCAACAAGAGTAATTTGTTCCAAAGAAGGAGAATCCAACAACAACGCAGCAACAAGAATCCCGACGAAAGGGCCCCCCCATGAGAAATTCTTTGTTGCGATTTAGACTCAGCCTCACCGAATCAGCCTCACCGACGACTAACGACGGTGATGATGCCAAGATCCGATGATACCAGGATGCGCCGTGTGAGACGTTTGCAGCCTGTAGGTCCCGTGGAAGCGGTGCGACCTGTGCAGTTTTTTGGACCTGTGGGGTCTCTGGGACCTGCCTGACTTGCGGGCCTTGTGGGACACTGTGGACCTGTGGGGCTTGCAGGCCCTGCGGGTCCAGTGGAGCCCGTGGAACTTGTGGGTCCTGTGGAACATTTTGTGCCTGTCGGGCCCTGTGGGACCTGTGGGGCCCGCCGGACCTGTGCGCCCTGTGAAGCTTGTTGGGCAAGTGGGGCCCGTGGGACTTGTAGGACCTGCGGGCGTTGTGGGGCGCGTAGGGCTTGTGGAGCCCCGGATCTTTTCGGATTTGTGGGACCCGCACGATCTGTAGCACCCGCGGGCCCGTGGAACCCATGGGACTTGAGCGACATGCGGGGCCTGTGCGACCTGTGGGGCCTGTGGGACCTGTGGGACCTACGGGGCCTGTGAGACCTCCGGGGCCTGGGAGAATGGTGAGATCCCAGGAGAAGGGTTTTCGCGTGAGACTTCCTCGCAATTTGCTCACAGACGAGGCTCCCGATGGAGACCTCTCCCCCAGATGCAAGCCCCAGAAGCTCAATAGTAACGACGGTTACAAGAATCCGATGAGCCGCTCGGATTCGTAACATGATCTGCGGGCCCTACAAGGAGGGGGCTCCCACATGAGACTTCCAAGCGTTTGCTCACAGATGAGGCTCCCGCTCGGGACTTCCCCCACTAATTTTCAGGCCTCAGGAGCCCCAAAGTGACGACGGTTACCTGAATCCGATGGCCCGCTCGGATTCGTAACATGAGCTGCGGGCCTCGTATGGAGGTTGGCTCCCGCCTGGGCCTGCCTCACAATTCACTCGCAGATGAGGCTCCCGCTCGGGACCTCCCCCAGAGTCAAGCCCCAGCAGCCCAACAGCAACTACAGTTGCAAGAAGCCGATGGCCCGCTCGGGTCAGTAACATGATCTGCGGCTCGGGTTAGTAACATAATCTGCGGGCCCCATAATGGGGGCCCCATAGGGCGGGGCCATCTGCCTGAGACTTCCTCGCAATTCACTGACAGACGCGGCGCCCACTTGGGACCTCCCCCAGATTCAGGCCTCAGGGGCCCCAAAGTAACGACAGCTACAAGACTCCGATGACCCGCTCGGGTAAATAACATGCTCTGAGGGCCCCATAAGGGAGGGGTCTCCCGCCTGAGACGTCCTCGCAATTCACTCACAGACGAGGCTCCCGCTCGAGATTCCCCCCGCACGCAGGCCTCAGGAGCCCAAACATGAAGACAGTTACATGAGTCTGGTGACCCGCTCGGATTCGTAAAATGATCTGCGGGCCCCATAGGGAAGGGGCACCCGCCGGAGACTTCCTCGCAGGTCGCTCACATACGAGGCTCCCGCTCGAGACCTCTTCCAGACCCAGGCCTCAGAAGCCCCAAAGTGACGACAGTTACATGAATCTGATAACCCGCTCGTATTAGTAACATGATCTGCAGGCCTCGTATGGAGGTGACTCCCGCCTGACATGCCCTCTCAGTTCACACAGATGAGGCTCCCGCTCTAAACTTCTTCAACATGAGAATGCCTGTGAGAGTTCACGAGTGTGTGAGTGAGTTGTGTAGTGATGATGGCGGTGTGATGATGGTGATGCTGATGCTGCTACAGATGATGATGCTGCTGATGGTAATAATGATGATGATGATGCTAGTGATGCTGTTTTTCTGATGATGATGCTGGTGATGTGGCGATGATGATGCTGGGGGTTATGGTGATAGTGATTGTGAGGGTGATGGTGTTGATGATAATGGAGATGGTGATGAGGATGATGATGCTGGTGATGAGGCGGAGGAGGAGGAGGTAGATGTGCTTCATGGTGTTGATGATGATGATGATGATGATGATGATGATGATGATGATGATGATGATGTTGGTGTGAATGGTGTGCTGCTGATGATGAGCTGGTGGTAAGGAGGAAATGATAATGCTGATGCTGCGTATGATGCCGATTATGATGAGTTTGCTGAAGCTGGTGCGAATGCGGATGTTGATGCGGATGCTGATGCTGATAATGACGATGAGGTTGATGATGATGTTGATGACGATGGTGATGATGATGATGATGATGATGATGATGATGATGATGATGACGATGATGATGTTGGTGTGAGTGGTGTGCTGCTGATGATGAGCTGATGGTAAGGAGGAAATGAAAATGCTGATGCTGCGTATGATGCCGATTACGATGAGTTTGCTGAAGCTGGTGCGAATGCGGATGTTGATGCGGACGCTGATGCTGATAATGACGATGAGGTTGATGATGATGTTGATGACGATGCTGCTGATGATGATGATGCTGCTGATGGTGATGATGATGATGATACTGCTGATGCTGATGATGATGCTGGTGATGATGATGCTAATGATGATGATGCTGATGCTGCTGATGATGATGATCATGATCATGATGATGATGCTGCTGCTGATGATGATGCTGATGATGATGCTGATGTGAGTGATTGAGTGAGTGAGTGAGTGTGCGGAGGGAGGCGAAGATGCGCGGGAGGAGGAGAGGAGATCATGCGCGGGAGGTGTGCCTTCTTTGGGTGTGGGGAAGGACCATGCAACACAACCGCAACAGCACTCCGCACCGCGGAACCCCCACTTCAGCGGCGCGCCCAGGGACACTCCGGGCCCCCTCACTCCGATAGACGTGCAGGCCCCAGTAGCGGGCCTCCCTCCCGCCGCCCGCGGCGCCAGGAGATGAGCGAGGACGAAGCGCTCCTGTACAGCCAGGCCTTCCACCGAGAGGGCTTCTCGCAGGCGCAGTTCAAGCGGCTCCTGAGGCGCGGCGGCCGCGGCCTGCGGCGGCTCCTGCTGCTTCTGCCCCTGCTGCTTCTGCGGCTCATCCTGCTCCTCCTGTGGCTTCGATGCGATGTCGAAGGGCTGTCGGGTCCTAGCTGCATACTACCCACGCAGAGGAACATTGCTCGTCTCACAGCTGAAGTTGGACGACCACCCCCTTATGCAGATCGCCTCGCCTCGCCTGCCTGCTCGCGTGTTGACGCGACGCGCCTCTGCGCCCTCGCCTTCCAGATCTGTCATACATCTGATCCTGTGCGATGACCCGTGGGGACCGTCCAGCAGCGCGCAGTACTCGCCGCCGCCTTCCACGAAACTACTTGCCATGGGGAAGGAGGGGAGGGGAGTACCTGTCGTCGGGAAGGTGCGCTGCCCAGGGGCGTGCTCGTCGTCTCCACTGTTCTGGCGGCTACAAGAATCACGCCGCTGGTTTGACAACGTGTTAGGCGTCCGGGGGGCGGTCTGCATGCCCTGGGACTGGCAAAGCACGACTCAGGATGAGACATCTGCCCCCGAGAAGGGGTCGAGAGCATGACGGCCCCACGTCAGAACAAACCGCGACGTTGGGGGGTGAGTAGCCTCTTGACCCCTAGCCGCATGACCTCCTGTCTTGAATTACAGTGGGCTGACTTGACGTCTTGACCATGATAACGCCCGCGCAATGATTTCCACGACGTGCGGACCTCGTGTGCCGACTCAGTTGCCGTCTGACACCTTGCTCACCTTCTTGGTACGCCGCTGAAGACTATCTCGTCGAGGGAGCCGGTCGAGGAAAGAGCAATGCAACGGTAGTCCGCTCGGGTTGCCGAGGCCGCACGCTGGGAACAGGGCTTCGTGTAGAGGCAGGTCGCTGGTGGCCTGAATCCCCGAAAGCCCCCCACACTAAAATGCATCGCAGCCCCCTGAGAAACTTCCTCCTCCTGCCCTGCCTCCTTCCCTCTCCTGCTCCGCCATCTCCTCCTCCTCCTCCTCCTCCTCCTCCTCCTCCTCCTCCTCCTCCTATTCCTCCTCCTCCTATTCCTCCTCCTCCTCCTCCTCCTCCTCCCTTCTCGTTTGCCTCCTTCCCCCTTCCTCGTCCCTCCTTCTTGTTCCGCAGCCGCCCCTGGAATCGGTTCCCCAGGGCCCACGGGAATTCAGCAGGGTACCGGTCGCCGTGTGCCAGGGCTTCGAAACCTGCGAGGCCCATAGTCCGGCGGCTGCTCCTGCAAGCCCTTAGTGGCAGCGTGCAGTCTTGCAGTCCTCGTCGCCCTCCTCCTGCCTCTTTTGCCCATCCCGGCGCATGAAAGAGCAGGGGGGTCCCCAGGCAAGGGAGTCCCGCGACCGACTGCGCGTGGGGCGCGCGCCGGACAGAAACCCGACACTATCCAGCACAGGTGGAGCCCAGTGGCAGAGAAGAAGTGGCAACGGCAGACGAGGGAGCGACACCACAAGAAGGCGCGGGGCCCAGACATGCGACGTCCGGATGTTTTCGATGCGCGGCCCCCAGAAGTCCCGACCCTTTGCCCCAGGGCCGGTTTCTCTCGGGGGCGGCAAAGAGGGGGGTGATGACCAGGGGGGGGTGGATATCATGGCGGGGACCATGAGACGGCCCCGGGGCCCGGTGAGAGCCCCTGGAGGCCGAAAACTGTGAAAATGTTGCAGAACGTTGATCTGCGGAACAGACCTCCGCCGAGATTCTTTCACGACGCGGGCATGTCAGCTTTGGGGCCATAACTCGGGCCTCAGGCGGCCGTTTGGAACAATTCTGGCACCCAGGGAACGCCCTTGGTGAGTCGCAGCTGCTGGAAGGCATCCCGACGCGAGAGGACCTCCAAGAAAAGGGACAAGCACGTACAAAAACGATCCTCCATCCTCCATCCTCGATCTGCTTCTGCCCATGATCTTTTCAGAACGCTGCATGTCTGGGCGGGGAGGGGGGGGAGTTGAGCCCGGGGCGCGCGCTCCGGGCCCTCAGAGGGACCGAGGCCGCGGGGGGGGGGGGGGGCGGCGCGCCTGGCAGGCCTCGCATCGAGGCAGATCCGCTCCAGAGCGTCACGGGACGCTCCTCGGAGCCTTCCCGAGCGCTCCGAGACGGCCGCGGCGCCCGCTGCAATCCTCGAAGCCCGCGGATTTTTTGTCCGAGGCTCTCGATGCAGGTCGGTCCGATGTTGTCTCGGTCCTGCCGTCGTCTTCTGGCGGTCGCGCGCCCAGCCCCTCCGCGGCCCGCAGCCGCGGCATGCCGCTTGCCTGGCCTCAAGTCGGGCATGTCCTCCTACAGGTGGATTTTGGATGATAAATATGAAAGAGTCCTAGCACTATGTTTTAAAATGTTTGAAAATTGAGAGAGGGAGAGAGAGAGAGAGAGCGAGAGAGACAACAAAAAAACAAAAAACAATCGTCCCAGGATTTGCTGTCTGACTATTATGTAAGCTTACGCCACATCCGCCGACCCCCTCCAGGACTGCATTTCACGAGGCTTGTCCGAATCATGGCACGGCGCTCGACATCGTTCCTGTTGCCTTGTTGCTGTTATCGTACCTCTTGGTGCTTTTTTATGGCCTTTCGGTGGCATCTTGGCTTGTCTGCAGGCCATATCCGGCCGCCTCGAGTCATCGTGGGCCAAGTTTTGCGGCCTCTTGGGGGCTTCCTGGGGGCTTCTTGGAGGCCTTTGAGGTTCTCTTGGGGGTCCCTCAGGGCCTCTTGGGGTGTTCTTGGGGCAGGCTGGGGGCGTCTTGGGGCCGAAGGCTCGAAAAGGTACCCTCTGGACTCCCTCTCGGAGCCGTCGGGGTGCCCTCGCGGGCTGTCTTGGGGGCTTCGTGGCCTGTTTTTGGACCCTCTTCGACCCCGGATTTGTTTTTTGTTGTGATTTGTTCGAGTATTCCTCCTGTAGCGGGACATGCCTGACTTACAGTCGGGGCCTTGAAGAAGGAACCCTTTTCGTTGGGGAGGGGCTCCGCGTTCCTTAAGTGTTTCACAGCTTGCCTCAGGTTTTCCTTATGTTTTCGATACGAAATCGAAGTTTAATTAACTCATGGCAGATAGGGGCCTCGTTCCTTATTTAGGGTTCCTTAGGTCAACGCCTCGACTGTACCCCTGGCCCAGCCCGGGCCGGCCCGTCGGCCGCGGCCGCCTCCTGGCCACGGCCGGCCGGGAGGCGGCGCCGCCGAGCGCGCCCAGCTCGATCGAGGACCGAAGACCAGCGAAGGCCGGCGCGGCCCCAACGATTGTAAAACAGGGCTGGGATCGGGACAAATCGCTCCAGAGCGTTCCGGAGCGCTCTCAGAGCGTTCCGGGACGCTCTGGAGCGGCCGCGGCGCCCGACGCATCCTCCAAGCCCGCCGACTCTCAGAGATATTTCGAGTCATCCCGATCCGATGTTGTCCCGAGCTTCGCGTCGTTTTATGCCTCGATAATTACGCCCGTTTTGAGGCGCAGCACGCGCCGTGCTCTCAAAGCGTCCGTGTCGATACGCTGCGTGTTGGTTCGACGTGTTGGCCCACGCTTTGGCGAACACAGCGCGTCAGACCTGCGTTTGAAGGCTGCTCGTCGAGCTCCGTACCAATACGCCACGTGTTGCGTGTTGCGTCTCGGGGCAGCTGAGGCCCTCGAGGGTCGAGGGCCGTGGGAGAATCGTAGCAGGAACAACGCCATAAGCACAAGCTTTTGGCGCTCCGCGCGGATGATTTCTTGGGTCCTCGCCGGGCCCCCCCTGGCGGCGCCTCCGGCGCCGCCCCCGGCGCGCTCCGCGCGCCAGGGAGGGGGTTCCAGCGCAGATGCAAGAAATCCGCGCGGAGCGCCAAAAGTTTCTGTTCATGGCGATGCTTCTCCTGCTAAAGAAGGCCGCCGAAGGCCACCATGACACCGCCGAAGACCGCCCAGGGTCGGTCGGTGACAAGGGGTCCATGGTCGGATACGTAGGTCCCTCCTGCTACCGATTGTTGCTGCTGCTGCTGCTGCTGCAGCTGCATCGGCCAGGGATGCTGGCGGCTGCAGCTGTCGCCGCGGAGGAGCAGGAGGAGGAGGAGGAGGAAGAGGAGGAGGATGAACGGCAGGAGGAGAGGTAAAGGTGAAGAGGAAATTGAGGAGGAAGCCGAACTCGGCGAAGGGATTCGCGGCGCACGCGAGGTTTCGATTGCATTCCTCTTGGGCTTTGCTGGAATCCGATTAGGGTCTTGATGAAGTCCTGTGCAGATCTTAGTGGGATCCCGCGCTGAGGGGTTCAGGGGCGGGATAGCAGCACTTCCAGGGGGCGGGAAGCGATATAGTTTCGCCGGGCGGAGGGGAGGGGGGGGCGATTATTGGGTTTCAAGGTTCTTCGCTCACGAGGTTCGGCGCACATCCCAGACCCCCCCGAGTCAGGACAAAAATCACGATGGAAGTCGTTTTGCTGTGCTCTGCCTCTGGGGGCTCTGATACCAGTCCTCGTGGCCATGAAACAACGGCTCAGGATTAAGCACCCGTCCATCTGGACGCCCGAAATGGGCACGGGAAGAATGGGTACAATGCCCAACAGCAGTTCTTGCTCATTTTGAACCGGATTCGCTGTCCGCGCCGCCGCGGCCTGTGTCCATTCGAGACAGAAGGCCGCCTGCCCAACAGCGGCCGCTGTTGGTTTGGGACAACATCTGTTGTTGGGCATCGTGCCCATTCTTTCCGTGCCCATTTCGGGCGTCCAAAGTCCAGGGGAACGGGTCGAGACCTCTGTTGGCCCACGTCCTGAGAGAAGTCGTGACGGCGGTGGCCTGGGCAGGCAGCCCGACGAGCACACGCACGGACGCCGTGCACGACCGGCCGCGCTCCCCCCTCTGCTCCCGCCTCGCGGCTCCCCGTGCCCTCCCCCGTCCCCGGCGGAGCCCCAGGCTGTGCCAGCACCGTGCGCGAGGCGCTCCCTGCCCTGGGCGCGCAATTATCCCCCCTCCGCCTCTCCCCGTCCTCCGCCCTCTTCCTTCGCGCCGCGCGGACGGGTGCGTCTTTTTTCTCGGCGGGGACCCTCCGAGCAGCATCCCTGGTGCATCCCGCGGAGCATCTGCGCAGGCCGCGGACACACCTGCGTAGGGGGACGGACGTCCGAGCGAGGGCACGCTCCCACCCGCGCAGGCGCGCAGGTAGCTCTCCCGCGCCCCGCTGGGCACCGACCGCTCTGTGCGGAGGAGGAGGAGGAGGAGGAGGAGGAGGAAAAGGAAGGGGGGGAGGAGGAGGAGGAGGAGGAGGAAGAGGAGGAGGAGGAGGAGGAGGAGGAGGAGGAGGAGGAGGAGGCGGAGGCGCCACGCCGCCGCCCCTCGGCCACTGCCCCCCTCTGGCGTGCCCCTTTGTCGGGGGTGGACAGAGCCCCCCAACAGTGACACGTCGATTATCGTGAATTGTCCGCCTTCGGTCCTCGAGAGGGCGCCGTGGCCGTTCTCTTCCATTCCAGGCCCGCGCCCGCCAGGCTTGGGCCCCAGGCCGTTTTCACTAGACCACGTCTTGCTAAAGCGGGGTCTGTCCATCCCCGACCTTGGCCTTCGAGTCCCAGCTGGGCTCTCCGGCGGCCGGTCGGGACGCTGCGGGCCCCCCTGGAGCGCCGTCGCCGAGGCGCGGCCGCTGGGAGGCATCCCGAGGCCCGAACGCCGACGAGAAGCGGCGGAAGCGTCCGAAAGTCTCGAACCTCTAGCCTCGAGCGACTCCAGAGCCGATCCCCGCCGCTCCCCCTGCATGGCCCGGCGATGAGGGGGGCGAGAGGAGAGGGGAGCAGGATGGTGGCCAAGAAAGGAGCGACGACGCCTTCGTCTGGAGGTCTCCTGAGGTTTCGGGAAGGCCTCGAGAGGCCTCCGCTAGCCCCAAACGGGCCAAACACGTCCAACAATCTGATCCGACAACAAAAACGATGCCGCCAATGCCGGCGACGCCAACGCCGACGTCGACAACGGCGACTGCAACGGGGACGTCGACGATGTCGACGACGACGACGACGACGACGACGACGACGACGACGACGATGATGACGACGACGCCGCCGCCGACGCCGACGCCGACGCCGACGCCGACGACGACGGCGACGACGCTGGCGACGTCGACGCAGATGACGTCGACGACGACTCCGTGCGCGCGCCCAGCTGCCCGAGCTGCAAGTGGGGCGTCGCCCAGCCCGGGGAGGCGCCCGCCGCGCCCCCCCCCTCGCGAGACTGCGGGCCCCCCCCCAATTGGCCCGTCGGCTGCGGTCGGGAACTGAGCTGGGGGACCTTTTTGATCTGCAGGGCGAGAGCGAACCTCTTCCGCTGAAAGCTAAGCGGGACGCGCACAGCTTAAATGAACTGGGGGCACACGCCGGTCGTTGAAAGTAGGTGTTCTCAGACTCCCAGATCCCAATCTACTTCGAGCGCCTTCCCACTTCAAGAGTCGGCGTGCTTTTGCGGTGTTCTGTTATTCTCTGGGAGGGCCTGTGCCCAATCTGCTATATCCGCCTTCCTACTTCATGTTTCTACCTACTTCTTCCGACCGACGTGTACTTCGTCAGGGTATCCTGGGTTTCTTCGCTCCGCCCGCTGCGCGGTGACTTCCCGCAGCCGTTGAAGCTGCTGCGTTCAGGGCGCTCCCGGATTTCCCCTCCGGTGCACCTCGCGCGCGGGTTCTCAGGGTTGGGTTTCTTTCGAGGGTTTCTTGCGGCCGCGCCCTCACTGTACTTCGAATTTAACCACAAAAGGGCGTGGTCTGATTTGGGGGGGGGGGGCTGCTTGGAGCTGTCTTGGAGCTGTGTGGGTGTGGACAAAAGGCCGCCCTTGCACGGCTGGTCTCGGGGAGGTCAAGAGAACTCTCGGCTGGAAGGGTTTGGGCCCTCTCCCTTGTATATTACGGAATTTGGGGTAGCGTGTCGCGCCGCCGGTTTCGGTCTACCACGCTTCGGCGCGCTATCCATTTCCTGGCCCCCAGGCGTCAATGCCCCGATTTTTTCCGGAGCCTCCGCAGGGCGGAGCGACAGGCTATCCGCTCACAGGGGGTAGCGTGTCGCCGGGGCCGCCGCGGCGACACGCTAAGCAAACGTCCCCGTCCGCACATGGGATCTTCCAGAAACGGCTTCGCTTTCGGCGCGTGCCGCCTTCGGCGGAAGCTGCCGGAAGCCGGCGGAAGTGAAGCGGCAGCGTGTCCGTGGGTGGAAGCCGGCGGAGAATCAGAGCCCCGAATCATCAGGGGTAACTCGGGTCAGGGACAACTCGGGTTCGTTTTTCGGGAATCCGAACCCGAGTTACCCCGGACCCGAGTTACCCCGGATAACTCGGGCGTCCAGAGCCCCGAATCATCAGGGGTAACTCGGGTCAGGGATAATTTGGGTTCGTTTTTCGGGAACCCAAACCCGAGTTACCCCGGACCCGAGTTACCCCGGATAACTCGGGCGCCCAAGAGAAGCCGGCGGAGAGGCCGGCGGGAGTAAAAGTGAGACGTCGCCCTCCTCTCGTCGTCATTTGTTCTTTGGTTCTCCCTGGCAGCGTTTTCGGACGTTTTCGTCGGGTCTTTGGGTCTTGGGGTTTTCCCAGCCTCGGGATGCCTTCCAGCAGCTGCGCCTTGCCGAACGCGTTCTGGGGCTGCCCGGATCCTCCCGAACGGCTGACAGTGATCCGAGTCATGGCCCTTCGCCGGAGTGATTTTCGCGGGGCGCGTGGGAGAGGGGGGCAGAACTAGGTCGGGCATGTCCTCCTACAGGCGGATTTTGGGAGGAAGTATAGAATATTCCAAAAATAACGAAAATAGTCTCAAGTTGTCCAAATTCTTCTCCTGACGATGTTTTGACGATGTTTGAATTTTCCTCTTTACAGAGACGTGCCCCACGGAAGGGCAGAGCCGAGCACGCCGGCCGCTGCCGCCGCACCATGTGCCGCGATCGGCAGGCCGCGCACCAAAGGCACTCCCCTCCACTGCCGCCATATTCCTCCTCCCCCTCCTTCTCCTCCTCCCCCTCGGAGCTCCTCCTCCCCCTCCTCCTCCTCCTCCTCCTCCTCCTCCTCCTTCCCCTGCTCCTCCTCCCCCTCCTCCTCCTCCCCATCCTCCCCCTCCTCCTCCTCCCTCTCCTCCTCCTCCTCCTCCTCCTCCTCCTCCTCCTCTTCTTCTTCACCATCATAAATATCAGCATCATCAGTAGCATCATCATCCTCAGCATCTTCCGTAGGCGGCGAGGCAGAGCTCCCAGACCCCCTCGCTTAAGTCAACCAGTGGCGAAGCGTCCTGGCTCGACTATAGGCCCACCCAAGAATGTTCTAAGAACTTGTTGTGGTCTGCACGACATGTTCTCAGAGCATTTCCCTGGCAGGCCTATAGGAATGCCGGGACGGTCGGTCCCTGCTCAACAGGAAGCGCTGGGCGTGGAGCTCAAAAAGTGTGGCCGGCCCCGGCGCGCCCTCCAGCGCTTCCGTCGACATCGACGTCGTCGACATCGATTCCACCCGCGAGGGTATCAGCGTCGTGGTCGTCTACGTCGTGGTCGGCGTCGTCGACGTCGTTGCCATCGGCACCGTCGAGGTCGAGCTCGACGTCGTCGCTATCGTTGTCCACGTCGTCATCGTCGTCATCCTCCTCCTCCTTCTCCTCCTCCTCCTCTTCCTCCTTGTCGATGTCGTCGTCGTCGTCAGGATTGTCGTTGTCGCCGTCGCCGTCTCCACCGTCTTCGTCCTCTTCCGCCGCCCCCGTCTTGGCGGAGGTTGCTGGAGTTTTTCACGGGCTTCGGAGGTGTCCAGAGGGTTCGGGAGGCCTCAGGGCGTTTCGAGGCTTTTAGTGGCCTTCAGAAGTTCCCTGAGCGTGCCACGGCCTCCGTAGCCAGTTTGGGCCAAGGTGTTGCGGCTCGAGCAAGTGGGGCTCGACTGTATTTGGAATGAATTCACTGTGATTCGAATCGTTTGTGCTCTGCCCCACACACGTGAGAATGCGTCCTCTCACGATGTTTGCCTCTCGTTTTCCACGTCTTCTTGGCAGAGAACTGTATGAACCCGCTGCTGTGTACGCAGGTGCCCCGCTTGCGACGCTGAATCCGAAACGACGGGGTGAGGCAGTGGCATCAATTGTGCGCGCCGTCCTATCCGATCGGCACCCAGAATTATGCTTTCAGAATGCTGAGCGTGGGTTACGCAGTGACAGCGGTATCCGAGGTCAAGAACAGGCGCCGTATGACTGGCTTTGCGAGTGTCGCAGAATCGAATGTAAGAGTTCCAAAATGCATTGGTGCTACAAGAGGAGGAGTTGGCAATTCCGGTTTGATAGTGTGAAGTTCGCATCGAATACCCAAGTTCCCCGGGGGGCCTTCGATGATTTGATTATCGCCCTTTATTCCCCAACTTCGATCCACGTTTACCAACACGACCTCAGTTTTGGTGTCACGACTCGTGGCAAGGTCACTGCGATCACGGGGCATGCTGTAGTCGTTAGCAGCGCCAGCGATATTGTGTCATGGTTTGAAGCCCTCAACGTCATCCTGGAGAAACTCGACGCGACAACAAACAATTGCAAACGGCTCGCTGAAATTTCATTGAATGATGTTCGTGTCAGTGCTGCCTGTGAGCAGCATTCGTCTTCGACCATGGAGCAAGCTTATAAAGGCGTACCTCTTTCAGACATGTCTCCATCACGCCGCGGTATGATTATACAACAGGTGGTGACTGAAATCGATGCGATCGTTCATCCTGGAGCAAAGATTGATCAGCCAGCCGCCAGCCTTTGTGTAAATGCAGCACGGCGTTGCACTAGGATGGCACTGTGTGATTGGCAGCGGGATGGTGTGCGGATCGAGTGTAAGAGTTCACAACTGATTTGGGAGAAGTCAGCGACCAGGTGGAGGGTCCATTTCAGCAACGTAAAGCTTACGTCCTTTGACGAGCTCATGCTAGCCATTTATTCGCCTCGCGGAATTCATGTGTACAGGCATGCCGGTTCATTCGCTTTGTCGACGTCTGGAGTTCAAACCGCACTATGCGGGCACACAATTGCGATATCGGCACCTGTTCATGTGTATTGTTGGTCCGTTGCTCTCGATCTGATTTTGCAAAAGTTCGAGATGTCTGGTTGCCAGTTAGTGTCCATGGTGCATTGGGATCCAACTCGCAAGGTGTGACCCAAAACATGGCTCACTGACCGGAAATGTTCTCGCGCGTCACTGCCGACAGGTCCAATCCATTGGGAACCAGAGCGTGCCACGCCACCCCATCTTCCCGCAGCGATCTGGTTGTCGGGGGGCCCATTTGGTTATTGTTCCCCGGAAGGACCCCCAAGGAAAACACATCTACAAGTATTTCGATCGCCTCCCCCCCTGTTACGCAAGCGACATCCCTGAGACGGGCATGGCGCACTTGATTACGAAGCCTCCCCCAGCACATGGTGATTTGCACACTGCACCTGTTCATTGGGTATCGCTGGTGCCCAGTGGGGATTGGGTCGCTGTACAAACGTTGGTCTCTGCGGCTACGAGGGGTGTACGTCAGAGGCTATGAGATCTCTGCGGGTTTACGGGATCCTGCTCAGGAGTTGGCGCTACTGGAGTTTCACTGGCCCTTCGTTTCGCTGCAGATCAGTGTGGTTCGAACATGGGCCTGCAGGGATGTCCGAGGAAAAACTCGCGAAGACATCATGGCATGCGAGTGACGCCCACGGGGGAGATCGGCGGGAGCTTCGGAGAGGCAGGAGGCGCGGGTGATCAGTAAGCAAGGTATCGTCCTCCTAATTCGACGGCCCAGAGGTTGACACCAACACAAGTATCGGAGGTGTGCCTCCAACGAGGGAAGATGATCCCGATCTCGGTGATGGTGGTAATATTCGGGCTTCCTAGGTGGCTGAAAGATTACCACCAACACCGAAATCTAGGATCATCTTGCACCTGTGGAGGCAAACCCCCTGTGTTGGTGTTGGTGCCCATTCCCAAGCCTCCAAACGTATCCCCGCCCCCGCATCTCCTTTGGCCATGCAGGGCCGTCCGGAAAATCGGCCTGGCGAAGAGCCCAACCCATTTCCAAAAGCAATGCACGCAATCATATTTTGAGGGGCCCGCGGTGCCATGAACGCTTCCAAGGAAAAAAGTCAAACAACGCTTGACGTCCTACAGTCACGCGCGCACTCTCACGACGCCGTGCGCGCGCACCCACTAGGGCCCCAGGTGGAGCTGATTGGGAGGCAGGAGCGCGCGAGGGGTGTGCCGAAATGAGCGTAGGGACGCCGTGCGAACGCTCCCACCAAGGCCATGGGTGGAGCCCCCCGTGAGGTCAGGAACCGTGTGAGGGGCGTGCCGAAAGGCGCGCGAGGACGCCATTTCGAACGCAACCGCTGGGGCCATGGGTGGAGTTCCCTGGGGGACAGAAAATGTGTGAGAGGTGTGCGGAAATGCGCGCGGGGACGCCATACGAACGCACCCACTGGGACAATTAGCTCCCTGGGGGGCAGGAAACGTTCGAGGGGTGTGCCGAAATGAGCGCGAAGACGCCATGCGAACGTACCTGCTCAGGCCATGGGTGAAACGTGTGAGGGGGGCGCTGGAGTAGGCGCGGGGACGCCATGCGGACGCACCCGCTGGGGACATGGGTGGAGCCCCCCGGGGGGACAGGAAACGTGTAAGGTGTGTGCCGGGATGGGCGCGGGGACGCCATGCGGATGCACCCACTGGGGCCCCAGGTGGAGCTCCCTGGGGGGGGCAGGGACGTGTGAGTGGTAATGGAAAGGAGGGGGAGGAGGAGGAGGAGGGGGAGGAGGAGGTGCGCGAGTGAGGTGAGGATTCGCGGCGCTGCGTATTCAAAACGAGGACCCAACACACATGAGGATTTTGACAACAAATCATCACACATGTCAAGCATCAGGCAGACATAAAAAAAACAAATGAACAACGTATCAGAGTTGCCGAGAACCTATGAGGAAGTGGGTGTTCTTGAGGGTTTTTGGGGTCCCAGTTATAGGAGATTCTGGAATGGTCTTGGGCAAGTCGGAGGAAGAACATGAGAAGGAGCAGTGGACGGAGGGAGGATGAGCAGGATCAGGAGGCGGATGCACGAGGGAGGTGGAGGAGGACGACGGCAAGGACAACGACCACCTCGACGACGACGACGATGGCCTCGAAGAAAACGAACGGCGTCGGCGACGACGACTATGACGACGACGACGATGACGACGAAGACGGTGGCGGCGACGTAGACAATCAGGAGGACGACGGCGACGACCGCGTCTCAGGTGCTCAACAGCTCCGACCCGACGCGGCTGAAGCTCATCGTGAGGGGCTCCGCGAGGGTCGCCCTCCCGCCTCCAGGGGGAGGGGTCCGCCGTTAGTCCTCCTTCGTTTACCGCCGTCGTCAACGTCTCGACGCCTCCGTCGTCGCCGTCGTCGCCGATGTAGTAGTCGTCGTCGTCGTCGCTGTCGTCGTTGCCGCCGCCGAGGGCGCTGTCGTCCAGGTCGTTGTCGTCGAAGCTGTCGCCGCCGCCGCTGTCGTCCTCGTTGTTGTCCTGCTGCTCCTCTTCTAGCATCCTGCATCTGTCGCCTGCGCTTCCTCCCTCGCTGTTCCCTGCCGTCTTGAAGGGAAGAGGAGAACGGAGAGGAGTCTTCGACGACGGGTGTCTCTGTCCGTCGGCGCGATGACCAAGACTCTGGCTGAATATTCGAGTACGACCTGTTTGTGGACACCCTCTGGGCGCCGATGACCCCTTCAGAGGTCTACGAGGGCACCCCGAGACTCATTTAACACCTCGAACCTTCACGAATATCCTCCCTCTCTCTCTCCCCCCCCATCCGCTCCCTCTCTCTCTCTCTTTCTCTGCTCCTTTCTCTTTCTCTCTCTCTCTCTCTCTCTCTCGCTCTCTGTCTCTCTCTTTCTCTCTCTTTTTTTTCTTTCTTTCTCTCTCTCTCTCTCTCCGCGGTCCCGGCGCCAGAACCGCTTTTTCAAATACGGTGTCCAACGGGGCCTGGCACGCGAGGAAGCCCGTCCCGGCACGGCACGGCACACACATAAGCGGGCGGCGCATCTCCGATGCTGGTCGCGGCGCCGCCTGAACTCCCCCCTCCGCTGCCCAGCACTTCGGCCAGATCCTCCTCGCTTACTCCAGCGAGCTCGCCGCCTTCGGCGAAGGGCCCTAACACTGATGGGACCAGGAGGAGCTAGGAGGAAGAGGAGGAGGAGCAGGAGGAGGAGGAGGAGGAGGAGGAGGAGGAAAGGGTAGGGGCGGCCGGGCGGAGGGGAGGAGGGAAGGGGGGAAGGGAAGGCGGGGGGATCGGGGGGCGGTCGTCGCGCCGTCGCTGTTGCGGGCGTGGTCGTGTTGATTATCGTCGCGGCGGTCGTTTGTCGAGGCGGCTGTGGTCGTCGTCGTGGTCGTGGTCGCCGCGCCGCGTGCGGTGGTGGTTGTGGTCGTGACGGCCGGCAGCGTTGGTCGAAGTGGGATCATCCGCAGCGATGCGGGCCGCGCTAGTGATCGACGTGGTCGCTGGTCACCACCCTGGTCGCTCACGACACACTGAGCAGCATCTCAGCGTTGCCGAGGGGAAGGGAGCTGAATCTTCCCCCATGTGGAAGAAATCACTTCTGACCGTTCGGACTCGGGCAAGCCGCGGCCAGACGAGCGCACGAAGGCGACCAGCTCGTCCGCTGGCCTGCCCCTTGCCTCCAGGACGGCCGAGCTGAGCTCGACCGCTCGGACTCGGGCAAGTCCCGGCCAGACGAGCGCACGAAGGCGACCAGCTCGTCCGCTGGCCTGCCCCTTGCCTCCAGGACGGCCGAGCTGAATTCGACCGCTCGGACTCGGGCAAGTCCCGGCCAGACGAGCGCACGAAGGCGACCAACTCGTCCGCTGGCCTGTTGTTGTTGCTGCTGCTGCTGTTGGTGTTGTAAGTGTTATTGTTGTGAGTGTTGTCGTTTTTGTTGTTGTAGCTGTAGCTGTTGTTGTTGCTGTTGTTATTGTTGTTATTGTTGTTGTTGTTGTTGTTGTTGTTGTTGTTGTTGTTGTTGTTGTTGTTGTTGTTGTTGTTGCTGTTGTTGTTGTTGTTGTTGTTGTTGTTGTTGCGGCTGTTTTGTTGTTTTGGACTATTGTTAATTTCCCGCCCGAAATCTGCCTGCAGGGAGACACGCCCGACCTACTGCAAGGGCTCTGGCTTCGCCTCTTGTCGGTGCAGCTCCGCCGCGGCGCGGCGCCGGGTGCCTGCCGCCTTGCGGGGCAGCGGGCCCGCACGGCCTCCGCCGAAGGGGGCTCCGGGGCAGGCCGCCGCGCTCCGAGGACAGGAGGCCCAGCTGCCGAGCTGCGCGCGGGCGGCGGCCTCCCCCTCACCCCTCACCCCTTGTCGGCCGCCGCGCGGCGTAGGCGCGGCCAGGCGGCGGCGCCTGCCGCTCACCGCGATCCGACACCGCGAGCCACGCCTCCACTGCCCTCTGCCCCTCCGCCGCCGGCGCTCCTCTCCCCCCCCACTGCTCCTCCCGTGCCCTCGCCCCCCTTCCCTCCCCTCCTCCCGCTCCCCCCTCCTCTCGTCCTCCCCTCCTCCCCTCGCGCTCGGGCAGAGGGGAAGCCGTTGCCGCCGTCTTTCAGGCGGGGAGTCAGCCATTCCTTCTGCTCGTCGCTCAAGGACCCAGTCCGCTCTGCGTCAGCTTAAGTCGGGCGTGTCCCCCTACAGGAAGAAGATTCAAAAATAGTCAAAACAATTGCACCGGGACGATGATTTTGATTATGTTTGAGTATGTGTTTGGTTATGCTTGGGCTATTTTTGATTGTCCCTCCAAAATCGGCCCGTAGGAGGACATGCCCGACCTGAGCGTCAGCCCCGAAGAGTAAGTCGTCAGTTTCCCCCCCCCCCCCCCCAAGCGGTCTCGCAGTTCGCGCGCAGGAGGTGGGTCCGGCAGCCGTGGGCGTAAATTAGGTTTGAAGACGCGCGCGTGGGCTCCTTCCGCCGAGAGGCCGTCCTGGCGCAACGCTCTCCGGTGGCCCGGGAAGTGCCGCGTCTTGTCCCGGACCTCCCGCCCGTCTGAGCTGGCCAGGAGGGGCAAGCCGGCATCGCGGTACCCCTCATCGCGGTCGTACTTCTCTCTCTCTCTCTTTCTCTTTCTTGCTCTTTCTCTCTCTCTCTCTCTCTACCTCTCGCTCTCTCTCTCTCTCTCTGTCTCTCTTTTTGTTGTTATCTCTGTCTCTCTCTTTCTCTATCTCTCTCTCTCTTGTTCCCTCTCTCTCTCTTTCTCTCTTTCTTACTCTCTCCCTTTATCCTCTTCTCCTGCCACCTCCTCCCCCTCGGAGCTGTCATGTAACGCGCGTTCTGAGGAGGACTTCGGAGCGTATTCCGCTCTGGCGACGAGGGCCCCCCTGAAGGCCTTCAGGGCAAGGAGGAGGAGGGGGAGAAATGGCCCTCCGCGACGACGACGACGACAGCGACGGCGACCACGGTCTCCAGAGGGCCAATAGGGACCAATAACGGCCAAGATCCTTCGTCTGGCGACGGACGAGGACAACGACGACGAGATCTGGGACAACGACGATGGACGACGGACGACGGGCAACGAACGACGGACGACGGCGACGAAGATGACCGAAATCCGCTACGCTTTCTGATTCCCAGCGCGGGCCCCAATGGCATGTCGAATCTCGACGTCGACGACGGCGAACAACGACGTCGTCGACGTCCACGTCGACGACGGTGACGCTGTCGACGATGCAGATGGCGAGGATGCGGACGACGCAGCGGTCGACGACGTCGACGTCGAAGACGATCGACGACGATCGACGGACGACGACGACGTCGACGACGTGGACGACGTCGTCGTCGACGACGACGACGACGACGACGACGTCGTCGTCGACGACGACGACGACGACGACGACGCGCGGCCCTCCGGAAGGTGGCCGCCACGGCCTCCGGCGCGCCCGCCGTCGACCTCCCCGCGCCGACCAGCATCGGCGCCACGAGGCGCAGACCCGGCCACCACCGGGGGGGGAGCCGTGGCGTGCGCACCCCTCTCGGCGGCGAGCCCCCCGGGGAGTAGGGGGGAGGGGGCTTTCTGCCAGTTTTGATCCTCCTCCTCCCTCCCTCCTCCTCCGTCCTCCTCCTCCCTCCCTCCCTCCCTCCCTCCCTCCTCCCTCCTCCTCCTCCTCCTCCCTCCTCCTCATCCCTCCTCCTCCTCCTCCTCCCTCCTTCCTTCCGGCTCCTCCTCCTCCTCCTGCTCCTCCTGCTCCTCCTCCTCCTCCTCCTCCTGGCCACAGCGGGGGGGGAGCGAGCGAGCCGTGGTGTGTGTGTGTGTGTGTGTGTTTGTGTGTGTTTGTGTGTTTGTGTGCGTGTACCCTTCTCGGCGGCGAGCCCCCGGGGGGGGAAGCGAGACGGGGCTTAGGTCGGTCATGTCCTCCTACGGGCGGATTGTGGACGACAAATCAAGAGTAGCCCGAACATATCCAAAACAAGTATCACAAATAGTAGAAACGAATCGTCCGCAGAGTATGGTATGGCATTTTCTGAATACCCTTCCTGTAGAGGGGCACGCCCGACATAAGACGGGGCGGGCCTTCTCCGAAGGCTCGGAAGGTCCCCGGCCTTTTGATAACGGAAGAATAACAATATTTATCGGGGAGGCCTAGATTTAGGGACCCTGATCGGGCTCGGCGGCGAGCAATGGGGGTGGGAGTGAGAAGGAGAAGGCGGTCTCAGACGCCGGCGGGACTGCTGTCAGACGCCCTCGCGCCTCCTGGACAATTCTCTGCGTCTCCAGGGAAGGCTCAGGACATTTCTCTAGAAGAAGAACAGAACGCCATGAACACAAACTTCTGGCGCTCCGTGCGGATTTCTTGTGTCCGCGCTGGGGAGCCCCTGGCGGCGCCTCCGGCGCCGCCCCTGGCGCGCTCCGCGTGCCAGGGAGGGAGGGCCCAGCGCAGATTCAAGAAGTCGGCGCGGAGCGCCAAAAGTTTGTGTTCATGGCGTTCTTCTTTTAGAGAAGCCTCCTGAGCCTTCCCGTGAGACGCAGACAATTGTCCAGAAGACGCGAGGGCGTCTGAGAGCAGTCCCGCTGGCTCCTTAGAAGGCCTGCTCCTTCTCACTTCTCCCCCGTTGCTCCCCGCCGAACCCGCCGAACCCGATCAGGGTCCCTAAATCTGGGCCTCCCCGATGAGGTCTGGGTACGTCGGTGGGGTCGGAGGATCGCGCCGAAATGGCGATACATCGCCGATGCGTCTCGATGTCGAGCCCCGATATTTGTCCACGCCGACGTCGCAGATGCATCGGCGATTCATTGGCGATGCGGCGCGACCCTGCGACGACATCTCTGCTCCGACCCCGCTTGGGAGGCCTCCACCAAACGTTTTTACCAGATTGTAACCAGGACTGAACATTCCACCCAAAGGCAGCGGGTGCAGCCAACCCGCAGAGGAAGGATGGGCAGCCTTCCCAAGGGTATATACCCTTGCATCCTTGGCCTCCTCGGTCCCTCCCTGGGCACCTTCGTTGGCCGCGCCCCGCCCGCACAGCTTCGAAGTGTGCGTCCCCGGCCTTTGCAGCCGTGTCGCGCACCCTCGCGATGCGGGCCGGCCGTGATGGAGATTGTGCTCATCACCCACGGCTGCAGCGCCTCCTCGGGCGCGCCCCCTGTGTGCGTTTTTGTCTAAATGCATTGCTTCGGGGGTGCTGAACCACCCCTGGAGGTCCCATCGGCTTCGGCACGGAGTGCAGGGCGCAGGCAGCCAGGAAGTCTCGGGGGGTTGTTCGAAGGCGTCGGCGGCGTCCGGGAGTTCGGGTGGTCCTCCTCGGCTGCGCCCCGTCGAGGGCCTTCCCGGGATGCCAGAGTCAGTCCCGAGCGGCCGCCTGAGGCCCGAGCTGCGGTCCGAACATTTGGAACGGGGGTCGAAGAGGAACATGTTCGGAGGCCTAGAGGCTGACACCAGCACCAATACCAGCGGTGTGCCTCCACCGAGGGAGGAGTGTCCCGCTCGCGGCGATGGACCACCAACACGGAGACCTAGGAGCATCTTCCCCCAGTGGAGGCAACCCTTTGTGTTGGTGTTGGTGCCCATTTCCAGGCCTCCAGCACATACCAGGAGGGAAAGAAAAACACAGGCACAATTAATCGTCGACTCCCAGGACAATACGGGAAAATGGGGGAAACCGAAAACACAGAAAATATGGAAACCCATGGGGAATCCTGCGAGTCGTATCTATTTACTTGTGTGCCCCTGGGCCCCTTCAACACATCGTGCAGCACCCCCCCGCGGGGCCGCTTCGGGCGCCCTCGTCGGCTCCTGGAGGCCATCCTGTGTGGCCTCGGGGTGCACCTGGCAGCGGCTGCGCCTCGCCGCGAGCGCGTCCCCGCCGAGGCTTCCGAGCGTGCCCCGCCGGCCGCCCGAGGCCCGCGCCGTCGGGGGCCCCAGGCCGCGAGGCCCCCGTCGGGGGATCGGAGCACAGCGAACGACGTAAACTGCTCCTTGGGTGGGGAGGCAGAGTTCCCAGTCGCCCTCGTTCAGTTATATATATATATATATATATATATATATATATATATATAACACAAAAAAAGAAGAAACAAAAAAAAAAAACAGGACGGGAGGTTTGTCACCACGTTCGGCCCCCTGGGTGCCCTTGCCGGGGCCTCGGGGCCGTAACAAAAAAAGACTCGGGGCGAGAAAAACCGGCCCCGAGGGATGGGCCGAGGCCTCTGGGGGTCGACGTTAGGAAGGAAAGTCATGACGTCGGGGGTCTGCGTTGGCTGCACCAGCGATAGAGAGCCAAACGGGGGCACACCGGAAAGCGAGTCGGCCAGCGTGCAAGAGAAGAGCGGGACGAGGGCAGGGGGGGGCGGCCGCCTGGATGACATAAACACATTCGGGTGTGGCAAAGAGGGGGGTGATGACTAGGGGGGGTGGATTTCATAGCGTGGGCTATGATCTGTCCTCAGATCTCATGGCGCCTCTTCTTATTTCATTTCGTCCCTGGCCCCGCCCCTGGGCCGCACACATGCCGCCGGCCATGATTTGCGCCCCCCCCCTCTTGGCCGCCCCCGACATACGTGTTCGGAAGTCCTCGCGGATTTCTTGGGCCGGCGCTGGACCCACCTTGGCGCGCGAAGCGCGCCAGCAAAGGGGGGCCCCCAGCGCGGACCACCCACAGCTGTGTTTATGTCCTTTTGTGCTGCGCTCGGGAACCCATTGGCTTCCACACCCCATTCAGTGTCTTTTTCGATCCGAACGATCCGATTCCGTATTGATTCCGGCCGCCCCGGTCCGATTCGGATTTGGTATTCCAGCGATCCGGTATGGCCAGACACTCGCATGATTGTTGGTGTGCATCCTGGCTCAACCGAACCGATCCGATTCCGACTCCGAGCAGGTGCAGCCCGACCATCATCAGTCCCATTTCCCGAGTCGACGCGGGTTGATTTTGCCATCGGCCTCGACACCCCTCTCGAGAGATCGCCGTCAGTAGGATGGCCTTGAGCGGAAAGCATGTCCGCATCAACGGCCTCGCGGTCCTTTCCTTTGGCCGCGACCCCGTGGACACGGGGCGTTCATCCGCGGATGCCTTGCGCGGAACGTATCCATGCGGCCGCGTATCCACGGGATCGCGCCTTGGAATCCAGACCGCGAGGGCGTGAAAATGCAGGGCCCGTTTCGATTTCGCTCTTCTGACGATCGAATGTGCCCCGATGCTTGCATGGCGCTGGTGTGCACACTGGCGCAGCCGACCCGATCCAGCTTCGATTCAGTACCGCTGCAGCCCGATCATATGCACACGTCGATTCGACCCGACTCGCCGATTCGATGCTGAGCGCATCTGGTACTGATGCCCTCGCCGCTCATGGGAGGAATACCCCCGGGGGGGGGTGATGATGATGATGAGCACGGCGGCTCCCCCTGCTGTGGCTGGCCGGCGAGGTTCCTGCGGGGGCGCGACCCCTGGAGGCGGGAGGTCGTCGAGGCGCGGCTGGCGGCCGTCGTCGTCGTCCGCCGGTCGTCGTCCCCCGGAGGAGGAAAGTGTAACCACCGCCGCTTCGGCAGCCACTCCCAGGGGTCTTGCATGCCCTCGAAAGTCCGTCTCTAGGGTGCATTCGCGTGCGCTGCTAGCGCCTGGAACTCGATGAGACAGCGCCGACTCGGCGTCGGTCAGCGCCTGTTGGCGTCGTTCGCAGGAGCCAGCAGGATGGCACGGGAGGCTCCCATGAGTTGCCAAGGAACGATGCCACCGTCCTTGCGTGGAAGGCCCTCATCGTTTCGGTTGGATTCGCCGCTGGATCCTGGTCAGAGCGCAAACTGGAAGAGGTCTGGCCAGTAATGAGCGGTATCGATAGTGTTTTTGTCCTCTCTTGTCCTCCGACGTCGTCGTCGTCGTCGACGACGCCGTCCGTGGTCGTCGTCGTCGTCGTCGTCGTCGGCGTCGTCGGCGTCGTCGACGTGGTCGGCGTCGTCGTCGTCGCGAGCAGTCGTCGTTGTCGTCGTCCGTCGTCGAAGACGTCGGCGTCGTCGTCCGTCGTTGTGGGCGTCGGCAGCGGCGGTCGACGTCGCGGCTCGGCGAGGAGCAGGAGGGAGGAGGAGGGAGGAGGGAGGAGGGAGGAGAAGGGAGGAGGAGGAGGAGGAGGAGGAGGAGGAGGAGGAGGAGGAGGAGGAGGGAGGAGGAGGGAGGAGGGAGGAGAAGGGAGGAGGAGGAGGAGGAGGGAGGAGAAGGGAGGAGGAGGAGGAAGAGGAGAAGGGGAGGAGGAGAAGAAGGAGAAGGAGGAGGAGGAGGAGCCACCCATAGCCCACGTTAGCGCCTATGCCCCCCTCGCCAGACCCTCGCCATGTCCCGCGCCATGGGGCGTCCCATAGGCGAGCTGCGAGGGGCGCTGAGTCGCTGGCAGACCGCTGGGGACAGTCTTATAAATCCTTCAAATGAAGCCTTCCGTTTCTGCTCGGGGGGCCCGCGGCGGAAAGGAGACCGCTGACGGAATGCGGTCGAGGGATGAGGCTATTTAGACGGCCTCGGCAGGGAGGACGCACACGAAACGGAAGACACTTGCTGAAGCTTGATACCGCTGCATCACTACGAAATTGATTTACCCAAGAATTGAAACGCCAAGTAAAATTTTACTTGATTTTTTGTAATTGCGCGGGTCATAGGGGGGTAGGCTGAGTGGACGGGTGCAGGGGCATTCCAATGTTCGACCCGTACGACACTGCGATAATGATACACACGCCCAGCATGCGTAGCCAGTTCGGGGTCGGCTTCTGTTTTGCGTTGTCGGCCCTCGCCGCGCTCCCAGCTACAGGCCGCATGCATCGCCACCGCTGGTGCGCGGGTCGTGGAGCAGAACAAGAACTGTGAAAGGCGACTCAAGGGTGGACGAATCCTACCCACCCGCAATGTCACGGAATCTGCGCCGCAGGTTCTGAATTTCAAGTGGCGGGGCCCGCCCGCAGACAACGCGAAGCGCGACCGCGACGGACGCGGTCGCCCACCGTGCAATCAAAGGTGGTGCCACCAGGAAATTTGGCCCACTAACGCGGCTAAGGCGCCCCAAGCCATAAGACGTCAAGCCATCATCCTTTCCGCCATCCTTGGCTGCTGCCTCGGCCGTCCAAGGGCACCCTTGGCGGCGCATTCATCCTTGCCGTTTGGGGTTGAAGCCCGTTGCACGGCGGCGTCGCAGGGATGGGGGAGGCAAGGGTACCCTTGGGGACCCCTCCGTATCCTTGCCCATGTTCTCGTTTGGGCGGGCGCATCCCCGCGCGTTTCTTGCCGCGTAATGGCGTTGCGCGGCCCCTTGGGCATCCTTGCTGATTTGCGGGTTGTCGCCTTCTGCCCGATCTTGGGTCAGTTTTGACCAGGCAACGGTATATCTGCATGTCCCCCACGCCCCCTTCTTTGCCTCCCCCCTCCTTCCCCGCGGGAGCTTGTCACCCGCTGCTCTTCTGAGGCGCCCTTGGCCCATGATGGCATCCAGATTCAAAAATGTACCATTGGTTTTCCTCAAGCGGTTTCCGTGGTGACACGTGTCACCTGCTTTTCTTCAGAAGATTCCCTGGCTCATGTTGGCGCCGGGAATCAAACGATTACGTTTGGTTTTCTCCAAGCGGTTTCCGCGGTGACACGTATCGCCCGTTGTTTTTTCTGATGCTTCCTTGGATCATGGCGGCGTCCAGAATCAGAAATGCACCGTTGGCTTTCCTCTAGCGGTTTCCTCGGTGACACGTGTCACGAGTTGCCTTTCTGAGGCTTCCTTGGTTCATGTTGGCGCCCAGTCAAAAATTCACAGTTGGTTTTCTCCATGGGGCTTCCGCCGTGGCACGTGCCATCCAGACGGTCACATCCAGTTCGTCATTTGATGTCGTGTTTGCCTGTCATACCTTTTCTCCCGTGACACTTTTCCACGCTAGTCGGCGGCGTGCGGTTAACAACTTTTCAGTAAGTAACCTTTGTCGATGTTCCTGTTCCCTGCTCCTCCCCTTCCGCCAACGAGCAGCTCACCAGAAGAGATCTTATAACACATTGTGTGTGCATGCTTTCCACGCCACGCTACCCCAGCCCATGCCGTACTCAACGGGATCCCGCCCTCCATTTTCGCTGGAGGCACTAATCCAATTTTATTTAGACACTGCGCTGGCTTCGTTTTATGCATATTTAGAGCGTTGAAAATCTACTCTGCACTAACGTGCCTTTCCGCGCCCTTTCCAACCCCTACTCCTACACATGCTGTGATCAAGGTCAACCGCATCTCTGCAACTATCCTGCGCCGTACGATTCGTAGCATTAGCGTGGTCCGCAAACCTACCCCGCAGCTCATCCCACCTCACCCTGGCATATTCAAACGCCAGCCAGACGCTATCCACAAGTAACGGTGGTGCAAAGGGCGGCAAGACCGAGTTCGACGCGGGCGTCTCCTCAGGGTTCGACGCGTAGATTTCGTAACACACGCGGCCGCCATGGCGGCGTCCACGACGCAAGTGTCACCGCGGTAGCACAGCGCAACTCAACGCCCAATCCGCATGCGCAGACCACGTGCACATTTCCTGCCCAATCTATCCGATGCCCGCTCCCCCATCAGGCTTTGCTCTACACGGGCTCCTGCAACTAACCACAACTCTTGTGTACCAGTGCAATATACCTCCTTACCTTGTCCAATGCACAGCCAGCGCTGCTCTTCTTCGTTTGCCGCGACTGTTAAGGCGTCGTTGCTATTTTGATGTGGATCGCCATATGCTTTAATGTATTCATCCTACGCGAACTTTACGGCGCGCCTGCATCGCGCAATTTTAGCCCCCCCGCCGCTCCCCCTCCCGCCCCTACCGCCACCCCTCATCCCACCCGACCCCACTCCATCGCGACCCCGCTCTGTTCGCGCCCTTCCCCCCCACCCCCCCCCCCCGCGTCCGCGCGCAGCGCCCGTGCACAGCAGCGCCCGCGCGTGGCATCCGTGCGCGAATGTCCATGCGCCACGTCGGTGTGCCACGCGCGCGCGCGACGCCTACGCACAAGTCCCGTGCGCCGCATCCGCGCCACAACGCTGCGCCCTTCCCATGGTTCATGGCCACTTATGGAATTGCGCCCAAGGCCCCAGTAGAGACGCTTACATGCGTCCGCGCCGCGCATCACGCCGCACCCTCGCACGGACCGTGGCCCCATAGGGGGCTCCATCGGAGCCCCCTGTGGCGACGTGGACATGCGTCCGCGCCACCGATTACGGCGCGCCCCATCGCGCGGTTCGCGGCCCCACATGGTGCTCCACTTAAGAGCACCCGTGGCGACGGTCGCACGCTCCTGGGCCACCCATCGCGGCGCGCCCTCGCGCGGTTCGTGGCCCCAGAAGGATATCAACGAAAAGCTGCCCAACCATTGCGACGCTCTCCATCACGCGGCCCGTCGCTTCAGAAAGAGTTCCGCCCAAGGCCCTAGTGGCGAAGTTCGCGCGCGCGCGCAACCCATTGCGGCGCACCCCTCGCACGGTCCGTGGCTGCGTCGGGGCTTTCACTTGAGGCGGCGTCGTACAAGCGTCCGTGCCGCCCATTGCGGCACGCCCCATCACGCGGCCCGTGGCCACATGAGGAGCTCCACATAAAGTCCAAATGGCGACCTTTGCCCGCGCCATTCGCGGGCCCATATGGAGCTCCAAGCGACGTGTACTGCGTTTGGCCGCCGATGACGGCACGTGCACGTGCGGTTGCGCCGCCCATGGCGCTTGCGCCGCCCATGGCCCGCCCACCCACCCAGAGACCCCCGCCCAGCTCCACCCCCGCCACCACCAACCCACCACGACCACCGCCACCCCCACGCACGCCCCCCCCCCCCACACACACACACCACCACCGCCACCACCAACCGTCAACCACCACCACACAAACACGACACAAACACACACACACACACACGACCGGCACCACAGACACACACACCACGCACCACACACATCACGGCGCATCTATCGCACGGTTCGTGGCCCCATAGGGAGCCCCACCGAACGCCCCAGTGACACGCGCATTTGCGTGTCCACAATCGCGGTCCTCGCCATTGCACACGATTGAGCTCATGCCCAAGATACAGTCGGAGTCCATTAGTAGGTCGGGCCTGCCAAATCAAGGGTACTCTCGTGTCCTGTGCATCGCGCTTCGTGTCCTCTGCATTCCCCGGGCAAGGGTGCCCTTGTGTCCTGTGCTTTCCGCGGGTGTCGGCGGCTTGGCCCGCGGCGTTCTGGGCGCGTCGCGCCTCGGGGAGGTCGCGGCCCTGGTCAAGGGTACCCTTGTGTCCTCTCAGATTTGGGGGTTCGGTTCGCTTCGATGTAAGATTGCGGTTTCAGCGCCGCGCCGCCGGCGCCGCGGCGAAGGGTATACTCTGCGATGTCCTCTGAGTGCGGCCGCACCGCCAGTGAACCAACGACGCGTTCACTCGAGGTCGCCCCCGCGCAGCAGGGTACTCCTGTGTCCTGTACTTGCCCAGCCCTGCACGTTCATTCATCGTCGCGC